ACATGAAGGTTGCCAGGTAAAGTTGGCGAGTTAAAACCAAAACCTCGCTCTTGAAATGGGCTTGAATCAAATAAGAGCGTTTTAATTTCCTGGTAGTGTAGCAAAGTCCTGGCAATTGCTTAAATATTTGCTGCACTTAGTTGAGTAAACACTTTGCCGCAAGAGATGATAGCGCACAAAGAGCTAATTGCAATCCCGTATCTTGATTAACGCACTTTTGTCAACAGTTGCCCATTATCGGGTTACACCTTCGTATATATGTTAAGTATGTATTTACAGCCAAATAGCATATAGCTTAGCTCACCACAAATCAAGATCGGGGCAATGACAATTGCGAACGGGGTGTTGCGACACCTCCTCATGGTTTCACTTTGCCTCGAACTCACTTTCCCGGCACACACTTGCCCTTATCTGGAATTACTGGGCACTGTCACCAGTCGCGACTAATTTACGAACTGTTACTATTTGCGGCACTGGGGCACACAAATCTAGTGGCTTTCGAAAGTTATTTAGCTTTTCCGACCTAATGACAGTGGAACACTGTCTTATTTCCGAGCTCACCCGCCGAACGCGGCCACACAACTGCGGTTAGGGAATCGGCGACACCGCCACTTATATAGCCTCGTCGAGGGTTTGTGGTGCTTCTGTGTTATTTTCCATGTTTTTTTTTATATTTTCGTAGCTGCCAGTCGAGTTGGAGCCCGATGGTCGGAACTTTCCTATCCACTCGAGAGCTCGAGAGCTGGAGAAGCGACCAATTTGGGCGCCAGGCCAAAGCAACCAAGCAAACCAACCCAAGCCAGCCACATTCCGGTGTCGATGGGAATTTAAAAGGTTAACCATCCGGATGACTTTAGGTTGCCCTAACCTTGCCATTGAATCGCGGCATTCGGGTTACTTGGCAGGCATGTGAAAATAATCCACTCAGCTGGATTCTACGAAGGGTACTGCTTTGAGTGAAATCTTACCTGAAAAATCCCACAGTAATGAGTTTTACTATCCAGGTCTTATAATAATAAACTGTTTATTGCTACACTGTTTAATTAACAGTGCCTGAATGGCCTCTTAAGTGCTTCAGTTAAACTATAAAGTTTTCCAGCGCTATAAAAAAATTAAAGCGCTAAGATTAAATTGTATAAAACTATTTACTGAAATAAATCATTCTGTTGTATATCTTACAGTAAATTGTAATCATGTTTTATATGGATTTTTTTAATTTTCAAGCTGTTCCTAGTGAGGCAACCGTAGGTGTACTACTATACTATCGCCATGAGCTTTTGAAGTTTCCGTTAGTTTAGTTCAACATTATGTCATAGTGTCTCTTTGATAGCTTCTATATGCCGGGGAATTCGAGATCTGAGGTATCACAGGGTATGCCCGATTCGAGGTCCGAAAACGGCGTTTCATTTATAGCCGAATGACTAATGCTGTGCGTGCTGGGCTTAACCGTCGATGAGTAACTGCCGAATTAGATGACTGCGATAAAGATGGTAATCCACGGCGGGGAAGACCGAACGACGAGACTCGAAAGTCAAATTTCGATTGTTCGAGTGAGACTCTTCGAGTCGAAGGCACTCGAATAGGAGAGCTAGGTCTTGACTTGAGGGGGTTACAAAACCACGAAGCCTGCGGCTCCGGATGATCGACAGTTCAGAGTACCGTTTATATGACCGGTGAAATGTGGGGCCGGTGTTTGTAGGGCTTATCTCCAGATCTGTGCGATACTCAGGCTGATTGCTTTGCTGTTTATCTTTGCATCACATGTCGCAGCCACAAATCGCAGGCAATGCAAGTGCACAGGGCACATTAAATGGCATTACTATTGCATGCTAATCGCATTCTGCAGCCTGTTTGCCCTACACTGCGTAGCCATTTCCCCTGACATCGATAGCCATTTCACTTTAATTTCACTCGAATCCCTCGAATGGATCAATAATTGGAAGTACCTTTAAACTGGCGAGCTGATTATTACATTACATTACATTAATTTGGGATCGGAGAACATATAGAGTAGGATCTTTCCGGTTTGCGAGCTGATGATAGGTTGTCTAAATGTGCTCAGATCTCAGCCAGACTAGTCAATCAGATTTAACAGCCATAATTGATCTTAACAAAGGCAAGCTTTATGTCTTCCACGCTAAAAATATTCATATTATTTGCATATTTAATGCGTCATTTCATTTCACTTGGCTGCTGATAACTTCAAAGGGAGATGATAACAGTTTTTTGTTTAAACAACTAGTTATGTTATGTATGGAGAAATAATGGGGATTTAATTGAATGCAAAAAGCGTAATACAATCAAGAATTTTGAGTTAATGAATGCATTGCAATGCCATGCGAATAGATCAATAAAACAATTAATTAACCCTAGGAAGCAGATAATCCACTAGAATATTAATACGCAGTATTCCACACTTTTTTGGTAGCTTTTTTGGGCCAGTTGGCCATCGACTGACTGACTGACGGACCGACGGACTAACTGACTCATCCCGCAAAGTTTGGCTCTGGCAATGGAAATTTTTCACCTGGGCTTGGGCTGTTAAGCATTTTGCATTGTCGTTCATCTGGGCAAGCCGAGGCTCGAGAAATCAGGTGAGGCGTGTATTAAAACGACCTCCGTGATATGTCAAGCGGGGGAACATAAATGTCTGGTTCCACGAGCAGCGTCTGAAATGTGAAATCTGAAATCTGGAAAACTTGCGCTTAGAATACTTACACTTACGCTTGTGGGTATGCCCAAGTTTGCTTTATAATAGACTCTTTTGTATTCCTATTTTTCGTACCAGTCACTAATTACTCTGCTCGGGTTTTTGGCGGAGCAAAGGGGAATCAGCATCTGAAACGCAGAAAGAGTAAGTGCTTTTTGCTTTGCGTTGAATTACAAGCTAAATAATGTATATGTTTATTTGTGTATACTACCAGCCTGCGGCGAATGCGTAAATGTCGTATAATTTAGTGCCACAAAGCAGAACTTTTAATATCTATACCGAAAGTCAGCATGCAATGTTCGGTGGTGTGCTCATGCTCTATATAAGGAAGTGTCTGCGTCTAAGGGCGTTTTTCTTTCACTTCCTTTGAGGGAATGTCACAAATGTCGGTCATAGTCGTAAAAGAATATCGTGTTTGTACATACAATATGTATGCATTTTTAAAGAGGACGTATGGATTCGATTCTTTACTCTCATATCTACATTCTCGCACAGAAATCATTTTAAACGCGCAAGAGTATTAAAATATTCATTTGACAAGTAGCTAACAGAGCCCTCCATTTTGGCCAAGTTAAGGCAACAAATAAACAGAAAGGTGCAGGTACACAAACTAACAAATCGGCAGAATTGTAAAGGTAATCCCGAAGTATTATCCATAATTGTGGCCATGTCCGCCGTAGGTCAGACCACTCAAAATCACAGCCTTTGTTGGAAGGGTCAAAAAGCTGGCTGCAGTCAAGTCATCAGTAGCCACATCAATAATCATTAGACTTGGACTCGTTGGCATTTGCCATGGGGGCGCAAACAGAACGGAGTTGGGTGGGGGAAATCGTATTTATTTTTAATTAAAGTGCAACTGCCGACCGACTGCGGCTGGCTTTGCTCAATTTACGGGTTTTGCTCTCAAATAGTTCATAACGATGCCAAACCAGAAAACCAGAAAAATGCCGCCAGTTTGTCATCGCCGCTCGAACTCAACAATTTTGTACTGCAGTCAAGCGCATAAATTCCTCGAAAAACAATAGAACCCAAGGTGTTTATGAGTGTATTAATGCTGTGTTATTATACCCGATACTCGTAGAGAAAAAAATATACTAGATTCGTTGAAAAGTATGTAACAGGCAGAAGAAAGCGTTTTCGACCATAAAAAGTATATATATTCTTGATCGGGATCAATTCCAAAAAATTAAAAATGTCCCAAGACTGAAGTTCCAAAGTCCATAACTCAACTTATCTTAATCGGATTTTGAAGTGGCATACCTCTTAATGTTTCTGGAGCAATTTTCTATAAATCTGCATTCAAATTTAGAATTTTATTTTTTTTAAATTTTTTTGTACTTTTTCTGATGTTACGATATTGTAGAAATTTAAAAATGTCCAAAGACTGAAATGTCCAAAGTCCATAACTCAACTTATCTAAATCGTGGCATAGAATCAAACATGGAAGTAACGGTCCCTGTTTTTGTTTAATAATTTATTACTTTAATTTCTTTAATTGAATTTAATACCAACTCTTAAACTAAGAGTGAACTATCAAATTTAACATTAGTTGCAATTTCCTCCTAAATAAACTTGTCCTTGACATTACTTTTTAACCTATGATGCCCTGTGTATTATAATTATAAGTCAGTGAAATATGAAATCGTGAATTCAAAACTCGCTCAAGTCTACCTCGTAAAAACGGGACGCCTAACTGATAGCCATTATGTTACCATGCCCAGGCCTAAATTCCTTCTCCTATCACCGCATCAACATAATGGTATTCGGTCAAATTAAAGTAAAATCGGCAATCTATAGGGCTGCGGCTCTTTTGACACGCACACGCGATGCTCTGCAGACCATATGGATTTATCAATGAACACCCACACCCACTAGGTGGCTCACCCACCTGACCCAACCAAACCCAATGGCCAGCACCACCCGAGCTCGCAGAAGCCAATGAATGGCCGGCAAACCTAGGAACACCCACTATCATCTCGGGAGATTCTTCGTCTGCCGAGTTCAAGAACAACACACAAGTGGACGTAATGAAATGTGAATAGCCTTGGCAAACATGAGCCCGGAAAGCCAACTTATGATGGGTATCGTGAAAAACCGCATAGTGCACGGCTAAGAGCGGGCCAAAAAGGACATGCTCTTTGGCTTCTCTGCTCGCTCGGTGGCGTTCTCTTTCGCATCCTCGGCTCGGAAAAAGGATGCCGACAAGCAACAATTTTCATTGATAAAAACACCAGCTGCTGGGTCTTGAAAATCAGTCGCATGCGAGTCCTCAGTCAGTCAGTTTCGAGCTCTGGGATTCAACGGATGCCTTAAATCCACGAGCAGTTTGGCGGTCTTATTAAAAATTGCGTATACGCCGCGTGCTACCAAGTAATTGCTTGACCAAAGCCACCAGGTCGTCAAAGGAATGGCTTAAAACGCTACCTACATTTTTACGTATATAACTTTTCCGGGTAATCGGCGGAAATTGACGTAAAGTTTTGTGTCCGGTTGGCGCCATTTGGCCATTGGTGCTGGCCAACTTTTGGATCTGTACGATGACAAACTGAAAAGCAAACTTTGTAAAGATTCAGCTCCGGACAAAAATTCAAGTGTTTCTGCAAAGAATACAAATTTTTGAATCGAAAAGGACACAGTTCTGTGGAAAAATAGTTGCAATGCAATGCACAATGGAAAATCAGCAAAGTGTCCTCCAAGTTTACGAAAACAGAAAATAACTCAATAATCATCGCTGCAGGTGAGCAGAGCCACTTCTTACAAGCATTTTGTACCATATCTGTAAACGGGTTGTGTCCTTTGGCAATTCCTATTTGACTGGGAATATGATGAACTTTATTTACTCGGCAACAAAGCGATTGTTTATTCTTGCCACAACATCGAGAATCAATCAGCCAACTCAGCGACTATTTACTTACCCATGGTATTGTTTAATCTGGTTTAATGCCAGTTGTAAATTAAAATTTCTTCTTGTACACGATGCACAAATTTACGATCTATCAAAAGCAAAGCAAACACTAACTTTAATCAGTGAATGAACTATATACTATAAATTTATATTGCTCCTTATATTAAACTGCGTATGATCAAATTCCTTTGAAAGAGATTTGATCAAAATTTCCATTTTTATTTTCATAGTACTTTAGGCTTATCCCTGTATTAAAACACATCCCTTGTCACCTAATAGACCAATTAAAAGAAAGTAATGCCTCGGTAATTGTTTCCAAGCGATAAGCCGAGATTTCTGTGTGCATACTTATGTGTTAATTTGATTGAGGTCTGGTGAAGAGGGCCTTATTTTTATAAGCCAAAGAATAAATTCAAACAAAACACTTGAGGGTGGCCTCAGACGGCAATAAGCGGCTTTTGCTAATGGGAAATAAGTGGAATGCCTAGGAATTAGTGGACAAGTAGACTGGCTGCTCTCTTGCTGGCCATCCTGAGTCCTTTCGGCTGATTCGCTTTGGCTCTGAGCCCCATCTCCAGAGTCTTTGTTAGGCTGACACACCTGAGTGCCGATGTTGCACACAGGCACTTTCCCAAACGAATGGAACCCGGCATCTCGCATTTGGTTGCCCCAACGTACCGTAGCCTTAAGCCCCATGAAGTGGGTCCCTTCTTCAGTGGACGTCAGCCGCATTTCTTGGGGCGCTCTTCTCGAGCGGCTGGCTCTGAGATGGCCTCTTCGGATGTCTTGGAGATATGCAGCTCATCCTTGCCTTGCCATTCCATTTCATTTCCCTTGCCAACATACCCGCATGGAACGGTGAGTGCTCTTGACTGTTTGTGCCCACATTCCGGCCACTGCACCGACTGATGCTTGATGGAGAACTGTTCTCCGAACACTAGGTTCGTCTTGGTCGTGGTCTTGGTCCTGGTCACAATGGGAATACGCTGCGTGAAAGGCGCCGAGGTTTTATTCAGGCCAGATTGGATACTTGACATGCTCTAATGCGGCGCAGATCTCAGTTTCAGCAACGTGCTCTCCCTATCTCAGTTACATGAATTAGCATTCATCGCCGCTACACAGAGCAAAAAAAGGACTACCAATTGGTGGTCTGCATACTTAGTGTTGTTAAATGATACACCTGCGAATAAATGTACTGTGGCAGTTATACTATATTGTATTTATTGCTTATTTAAATATTATAACACACGGTTGGAACACGACATGTTATATATGTTTAAACATAACTCAGAATTACACTTTAATAAAGTCAAATTTGTGTTTACCCATCCGACGTGTTGGCTGATATCATAAATTCAATTTCGAGAATGACAGGTCATTAAAAAGTTGCCACCTACACTGTTAGATATTTAAGTAACTAAATATAATATAGTAGGTGTATTTTGGAATTAGCTTGTTTCAAAAGGATTTTAAAGCAACCAATATGCTTTATTTTTATAATATTTTTTGAGCAATATGTTATATTTTGATGATATTTTACGTTAGATCCATTTTATTGAAAACATTTTGATTTGCCATATAAAAAATGCCGAGTTTTATATTCCCGCTGAATCAAAATGTCCTTTGGGATTTCAGAAATTTTTAAAACACTCCCCCTTTTTGTTTCCTGCATGTTTAGGCTGTTAAGAGCCTGTTGATGATGGCGGCCGGGTGGAACTTTCTGTTTTGTCACAGCCTTGGGCTGCTGGCTTTACATTTGGTGGAAAAACGAGACCAGCCGAGCACGTGCGGTGCACGGGGTGAAGGGGTTGAGGGGTGGTGGGGTGGACCGAGGACTAAGGATGTGGCAGGACGAAAGCGCTGAGTGCAGATGAGGACTGCAATAAACTGCCATACATAAGTGAAAATTGTGAAATGAAAACTTGCGCGAGCATAAATCAATACACCCAGGGGGTCATGGGCTCCCATGGCAGGCAGAAAAATAAATATCAGCTGGGAAATACGTATGTTCCCTACTCAGGTTTAGCTACTCTTAAGGCCAGGATATCGAGGACTTGTGTTTCATGTTCCCAAATCAGCTGCGCATTGTACCCCCTCCAGCTGGCGTTATCCTTTGAATGCTGGACACACAACTAAAGTGGTGGCACATTATCGGGACACATGTGTTGATTGCTTGCATGGGCTTGCTTTATTAGGCCAACTCGGGAAAATTTGAATACAAAAACTGGGACTTCGATTGCTAATGCTCTGTAGTACGTGATTTCGTGACTTTGCGACATTTCTGTTAACGAAACCTCTTTTAAAATTCCACATAGAACACCTTTTTGTTTTCGTCATCGATTTAGGCTCTTAAAACTTGGGAGCTAGCCAATTCCCTTAATAAGAACTTAGTAAACCCATATATTTTCACCCTTTTTCATCTAAAGCATTTTTAAAGAACTTTAAAATCTCTCAGGTCCGAAATATATAACAAAATAGCTTACACTTAATAAAATGCACTTGTTATGAAAGTTTCAGCTTTCAGCTGGCCTGGAGTTTATTATATAAAAATTCAGAGCGCGAGGGCCAAGGAATGAAACTAATTTAAGCCCAAATGGTAAACTATTTTCCATGCATGTTTCGTTTGCAATATGCAGCACACTCTCGTTTCTCGGCACACTAACAGTATGATTATTGTGGCAGCTTCTTCCGGTGAATTAACAACCAGCTTAAATTGAATCTTAATTTTAATAAATTGTTTTCATGCTCTTTTGCAGCCGTTGTTAGCGTTTTGCCGCCATTTTACCAAGTGGCTGGATAATTGTATCCGCGCAATCATCCCGCGGCTTTCATTGCCGCAGGATAAAAACCAAACAGCACTGAACAGCACAGAACAGAACTGAGCACTTTAAACCATTTCCACTCGTAATTAAATTTTGAGAGCGGATGAAATTGTGGCGGCTAAATAAAAAGAACAAAATGCATTTGTGCATCCAGCAAAAAGGCAAAAAGGCGAAAAATCGCGCATATCCGCTTTGTGAAAATACGAGTCTAAGTGATGGCTTCCGTTTTTGTTTAGCAGTGCTCAGCAGTGAACGGCCTTGTCGCATTTGGGGCTGATAGTGGGTGCATGGGGTGCATGGGGTGTTTGAATCGCAGAAGTCGGCCCATGGCCGTTAAGGGGACCTGGCCTAATCGAATGAATGTAGAATGGGCACAAACAAGTCACGCCTGCCTGCGCATTTCATCAAAGAACGACGCACAAGAGGCTTGCTAACAGCTCTCTCTGCTCAGCTGGGTCCTTTGAAGATCCTGAATGACACTCAATTGGCCTAATCGGTTCCTAAAAGGCATAGTATAGGCTAATTTCGAATACATAAGAAAAAGGGACACGCGTTTGATATCTAAATTGTATTCAAGACTGGAAAGTTTTGAATGCGTAAGATTGAACCCTTCTAAATATAACAACTGGAAGGCAGAGGGTCAAGCATCTCGACATTCAACAGGTTGGGCCCAGTTACTTAATCAATTTATTGGCGTTGAAAGCGAGTACTTCATTCAAATACTCATGAGTGGCTCTAAGGATAAGCGGATTTATTTGCAGCTATTGCACAACTTGTGGTTTTTGGAGAAACAATTATAATTAAATAAAGGTAAGGTTGTAACTAATATCATGTTAAATTACTAGTACACAAACAAAATTGCAGGCAAAAGTATTAAAGGGATGCAATTTTAAATTGTGCATTTTGCCAGGTTTATTGTAAAATGATATCTATGAAAGCATGAGCAGAAGCCAAATAAAATGTAATAATTAAATTTGTGTTACTTGTGGAATTTAGGAAAAAGAAAATAATTTAGTTATCAAACATGTCATGTAATATGATATTAGGTATGGCAACATACCAAAAATGTGTGTTATTAAAGTCATTATCACTGCCTTTCGGTTTGACGTTTCATGTCCTTGTTGATTTTATCCTGATAAGGGACGCACACTGTTAGATCTTGGTAACCTGGCTCTTTAAACGAGCATTGGAAGGCATCCTGTGCCAATTTCAAATAAGCCTGCACAACTGTGTAAGCTCTTTGGCTTCCAAAAAAGCTGACAAACTTGTACCGGAAAGGCAGCAACGTGCTATTTGCATGATTTATTGCCAATGGAGTAACAGAATGTGCCAGTTATTCGATTTTCAACGAAATTTCGTTGGCATTCAGTTGGGATGAAAGTCAAAACAAAAAGCCCTACCCTTTTGTGAAAAGCCCCAGAGAAATGACAATTTTCAATTGGCCAATTAGTGCTATTTAAATGGCAAGTTACGCCGTTTTCAAAGCGGCAACTACTCGTATTTTGTTTTGAAGTTCCGCGAGTTGTAAATGTAATAAGCAAATTTCCGGGAGCGGCATAGGTCACCTTTAGCATTACCCTGCGTTCCTTTCCAGTTGCTCAAGTTCAGCGCCTTGGCAGCTGCACTTGTTGTTCCTGTTTGCCAGAAAGTTTCTGGCCAAGAATTTGTCTTTGGCCAAGTGCTGCTCACGCTCGGATTCCTTGGGCAAAAGTTGGTGTTTGAGTTTCGCAGTGGGAAAGCACTTGCGGCAGGTCTTCAAATTCTGCCAGCCTGACGGCTCACGTGGCCGCCTCCTGGTTATTTAATAAGCAATTAAGTTCACTAATTAAATACATTCTCCCAGAGATTTACATAATAAGTAATCTACCCCGAGCGTCTTCCATTCCGGCGTCAATTCAATTGGCCGACCGATTGCATTTGCGAAACTTGATTTGGTTTGCTTCTGGTTGCTAGTTGTTAACAAACCATGATGGCTAAAATGGTCAGCTTTGGTATACACTAAAGATTAAAGAATCCTCAAGTAGTGGAAATATTTCAATGTTTAATATCGATCACAATAAGACCTCTTTATACAAGTAGTTTTAAAATGTAAATAATTAATCTAGTTGCCGGGTTTGACGTAATTTAAATGGAGTTCGAACAGCGCACTTGACATCAAATAATCCAATATTAAACAATTTTTAATCTCCCCACATGGGAAAGGAAATCTGATTTCCTAGAATTTAAAAGGAATCGGAATTTAACATTTTCTCGGTCTTTTGTGAGATGCCTGTGATATGGTGACTGTATTTATGAAATTCCCATTTACGTAATTTCCATGAGCTTAAATTGGATTTCCATGGCTGTATTTGGTGGATATAATAAAGCTGAAATATATTTGACAATATATTTTTATATACTGGTGCATCTATGAAATGCTATAGCTTGATTTAAACAAACCAATTCTTTGAAGTGCAATATACTCATTAAACTATATGACACGGTTTTAGTAGTATATATGAAATACATTAGCTGTAGTTTAGAGAACCATTATTTGGCACTATTACGAACCATTATTTCCCGGCTTAGAGACGAACCTTTTTCGAACCTATTCTTATAGTTATTATCACTTACATTTACAAGGGTAGGAAAGCAGTTGCAAATGTATGCACGCTGTATGAAATATGCTAGGCACTCAGAGTATTCACACCCAACCGCACTTGTTACATTTATCAGCAATTGAATTAATTTCAGGTTGTGGTTCAGCCGAGCTTAGTTTGCGAAATACATTAAAAAGTTTAATAATCAGCAGAGAGCGGAGGAAATATTAAGTTCGGCATTGTGTTAAACTTTAAGCGAATAGTTAACACAGTGTTATAGGTTTCCCGCTGCTTTTAATAACTTTCCCTTTCGATGCCCACACAACCCGAGTTATTTTCGCCGATGGTCGGAAGGCTGAAAAAAAAGTTTGGCTTAAGTTTATTGGTTTCACGCTGCTTTCATCAATTGCAGCATTTGCGTGCTTCTCAAAAAAAAAATGCTCTTCATTTATGGCGTTTCTTAGTGCCCAATAAATCCAGATTTAAGCTGGTTGGCCAAAACCAAAACCCGGAACCTTCAACGGTGACTAAAATTTATTACAAGAAGACAGCTCAAACCGGAGGCGGTTAATCAATTAAGAGCAACGATTAAGTCAACTGTCTTTTTATCTGTCCCACTTTTAGGGTCACCCGGTGGACAGCTAATTGCAGCTAACCCCGTTGGCATTTAGCAAACGGAAAATGCTTCGTGACCGCGGCAACCAGACTGCACCACCAGCATCACCAGCATCACCACGGGAATCCACACCGCTGAAACCGAGTCTGCAACTGCAACTGGAACTGAAGGCATCCCAGTGGCGGCCACACACGGAATCCTTGCCAAATGCGGCAGTCGAGGCGCTGGCAAGTAAATAAGCGTAATCCTTTGCGGGCACGTACCACCTCTACCGCCTGTTTGGAGTAGCTCGTAAATATTTGGCTGAGTCGTCGCATCCAAGCCAGTCAGTCATGGAGGCCATCATCATGACGACCCTGCCCACCCTGACAACGGATGCTGGTGACAGCAGCTTCTGGCTAACCGGTGCCCTCTCGCTCTCCGAGATGTTGGCCAACTCCAGCCACGGCCATTCCACTGGGAGCACATCCTCGACGGCTGGGAGCTCGGCCACGGAATCCGCCACGGTGAATGTGGGCAAGGACCACGACGTGGCCAAGCACGTCAATGACAGCGTTTCCACGGGCCTGAGGTAAGGGCTTTTGCCTAGGCTTTTCCAATTCCCTGACAAACACACTGATTCCCATCAAGCTCTTGACTCTGGACTCAACCAGTCATCGCGATAAGCTCGGCTTCATTTCCTGGGCCCAGCATTCAACCAATGTGCTTAGAATTCCACCACATGACTAACATGTAGTGAAAGTAATCAGATTACTGGGCAGCCCAGAACAATCAATACAATCCATTACAATCCTTAAAATAACTGAAGGGAAGAGTTATGATCCTCTTGGTTACGAAATTACCAAGAATATTGCTTTCTAAAGTGGCTTATATACTAAAGAAACAATAAATTGATTATTATTTACCTATATTATTTACAACCTTAAACAGTTGCATTATGACAAGGGGAAATGACTTAAGCTTAAATAAATTATGATGAACATTCATAAAGCCCAGAGCGATCAATGCAAATCTGAGAATGAATTGAAAAATATTCTAATGGAGTTAGTGACTAAGTGAAAATTTAAACATTTGATTATCCCATCTCCGCAGCAATTACAGTAATTACCCCAGCTACATTCACTACAGGGACAAGTACGACCTGAGCTACATTGCCAAAGTGAATCCCTTTTGGCTGCAATTTGAGCCACCTAAGTCGAGCACCTTCCTGGTGATGGCCGCCCTGTATTGCCTGATTTCGGTGGTGGGATGTGTGGGCAATGCGTTCGTCATCTTCATGTTCGCCAACCGCAAATCTCTGCGCACTCCTGCCAATATCCTGGTGATGAATCTGGCCATCTGCGACTTTCTGATGCTCATCAAATGTCCGATTGCCATATACAACAACATCAAAGAGGGTCCGGCTCTGGGTGACATTGGTAAGTGTTTAAACCTGGAAAAATAACTTCCTATATGTCTAGTACATAAGTGCGATTTACTCGGTCTGCGTTTTACTCAAGCACTGATATCAAAATTCGACTAACAAAAAACAATCTGCATATTAAAGCAAAGTAAATTGATTTCTGATTTCTGCTGTTTCTTGTAGTAATTCAATACCAACCCGAAAGCAATTAAACGAATTTAAATTGAGCAATAAAAGTTAAATTTGTAACCGAACCTTCTTGGTTCAGGAAAAACATATTCCTGAATGTAAAGGATATTAACATTTCAGCGAGCTCTTTGTTTGCCCCAAAACCACAACGTGAGGTTAATTAAAAATCCCACTGACTTTGCGTCCACAGCCTGCCGTCTCTATGGATTTGTGGGTGGTCTAAGTGGCACCTGTGCCATCGGTACCCTAACCGCCATCGCCCTGGATCGGTACAATGTGGTGGTGCATCCCCTGCAGCCGCTGAGACGCTGTTCTCGCCTGCGATCCTACGTGATCATCCTGCTGATCTGGTGCTACAGCTTCCTGTTCGCCGTGATGCCGGCCCTGGACATCGGACTATCTGTGTATGTGCCAGAGGGATTCCTCACCACCTGCAGCTTCGACTACCTGAACAAGGAGACGCCTGCCCGGATTTTCATGGCACTGTTCTTTGTGGCAGCCTACTGCATCCCACTGACCACCATTGTGTACTCCTACTTCTACATACTGAAGGTGGTCTTCACGGCGAGTCGCATTCAGTCGAACAAGGACAAGGCCAAGACGGAACAGAAGTTGGCCTTCATTGTGGCAGCCATTATCGGTTTGTGGTTTCTGGCCTGGTCACCGTACGCCATCGTTGCCATGATGGGTGTCTTCGGCCTGGAGCGGCACATAACGCCCCTGGGATCGATGATTCCCGCGCTCTTCTGCAAGACAGCTGCCTGCGTGGATCCCTACTTGTATGCGGCCACCCATCCGCGGTTTCGAGTCGAGGTGAGAATGCTCTTCTACGGACGCGGAGTGCTGCGCAGGGTCTCCACCACCAGGTCATCGTACATGACCCGATCCCGATCGTCGTTCACCCACCGATTGAGGACCAGCACCACTGGTGACGGTGGCATGGCAATGGGGGATCACCGCATGGAGAACTACCTGATGAACAACAACCTGATGATGGTGCCCGAGGAGACGGAGGAGAACGAGGAGATCGTCGTGGTGGCCGAGATCAACAATTCGGTTAGCAGCGTCATGGAGCAGAGTAAGTTCTGAAGGATGTGATCTGCCAGTTAAGAAAATAGAAGTCATATGTATTCCTGTCAATCCGTTTTAAGCATAGTAACACAACCATTTTTAATTAGTTTTAAGTTTAGTACAAACGTGTTTTATATGATTTCAAAATGAGTCAAACTTGTGACCACGATAGGTAGATAATTTAAAACTATGCCGCACTGAAGAAGAAAAGCTATTCTTTCAATTGAAAATTTCAACTCGGTTTTCCCAAAGTCATTTAGAATAACCATTCCTATCTCAATAAGTAAATACTCACTGTTAATTGAAAACGTTTGTGCACTGCAAGGCATATCCACATGGATCATAATCATAAATTGAATGGATCGACTCAAGTTCCATTGTTGGACCTATCTAATTTGTATGTAGAAATAATAGACCGAACTGAAATCAGCAAAAGCGGCTAAATAATTTCGCTCAGCGATGATATGCCAATGGCATTGTTCGTCGGACTGAATGCCATGTCATTGATGGACCTACAATTGACATGAAAATAATAATAATAACAAATAGAAGTGAAGCAGGGAAATCCGCGGAGCAGTGGGAAATTGGCAAGGCACAACGACGACAGTGGTGATAGTAAACATATTTAATGAGCTTATGTGATGTTCAGGCGAGGGGAGTGGATTACTTAGCGACATATACACACATAAATGTATAAGACATCCGAATAGAGGGCCTATTATGGAGGCAAGGCCGAAATTAGTACAAAGAGGGTGGCGTGGGTAGGGCGAAACTGGAAATTCAATAGGCAGATTATACATAATTTCAGGGAAAGTCACTCGGACCTAAGGTCAAGTCGCGGTGGTATTGGATGTTAACAGGCGGATGTGCAGATTGTTTGCATTGTAGTTTAATATTGGAATAACTCACAATCAAAGCAGCCTGCGGACTTGTTCTATTTCTGAAATTGGTTTGTATTGTGATGGCCCTTCAAAGTTATTGACAACTTAAACTAATTGCGTTAATGTCTCGATGTCTAATCCGATGGTTTTCTCAGTATCTTATAGGTATTAAATCGATTGTATACAATGTCTACTCTAAAACCTAACTAAGCAAACGACTTTGATAAAGTCATCGAGTACTTGTACCTGTAAGAAAAGTAAGAACAAAAAACACGACACGAAAGTGCGATGCATTGCGAGTAAGCCAAATATATAACGAATTTATACTCTTGATACTTACTTAGCTGTATCATTTTATATATGTATGTACATGTATATCGGGGATATCTGGCCACAATGGGCCGTAGAACAATGGTAGCCCCAGATGAATAAGTCTCGGCCAGCATTTTAATTACTAGAACACAAATTTAAGCCATTGTTGGGACAAACTTGTATATTTCCTTCACTACGTGAACGAACAATGGACCCTGCTATTTGTAATTGTGCTCAAAATGAAATTGCAGAAAAATACTGAGACGACTCGTGGCGGGGATAAACAAAGAGAAAGCGGGGGAAAACCATTTAATTAGCATATTTAAAATGCACTTTGACATCAGTTTTGTGTGTGCATTGTGTGTGTGTGTTTCACTTAAGCAGCTTGTATTCACATTAGTTTAACTCAGTAATTGTTTGACATGAAGTACCTATTGTTTTTGTTATGGCGGTAAATGTTAAACACCAAGCAACTCGAAATAAATGTGCAAAAACTTACAAAAAACCAACTCTTTTGACGCGTTCACGCATGTCCAACAGGTGTGGAAAGAAAATAGTTGTGACCGAGCGGTAAGTTTAAAAAGTAAATAAGCATTGGGTTTGTATGAATGGAGGATCCACGTGAGTGCATGGCCATTTTTGCTGGCAGCTGATAATGCAATGGGCGGCCACGTTGCGTATACTTAATGTGCAACTGATGAGGAAGCCGCATCACTTCCCGCTATTTTCAGCGCACCTCTTGGCCAAGAGAGAGCGCAGCTGCGAGAGAGAGAGAGAGCGCTGGCCTGCCGGCTACAGTGCGCGACATACGTGCAGCTCCCGGCGCTGTGGAAAACTCTCGTCAGCTGAGAGCTTTCCCCCTATTTTCTTGTTGGGAAACATTGGCCAGACAACGACGCCGGCGCCGGCTGCAAAGACAAGAGCAAAATTTCACACGCAGCATAACAATAATTTCAGTCGCGTTTTTCACGACCTGCCCGCGGTTGTTGTTTCAACAAAGTTTTCCTCCTTCTTTTCTTCCAAACAAAAAAGAAACTCAAAAAATATACACCAAATCGGAATTGTTTAAACAATCGTGTGATAAACGTATACACATATCGCCCAAAGGGGTCCACTTGCTGCTGGGAAAGCGTGAAAGTCGGAAAAGCCGGCGGAATAAAGGGATAACGAGTGCCAGCATCCCGGCGAACCAAGCCCAAGGAACTTTCAACATTAGGTTCGGTTCGCTTTTATGTACACATTCTAGTGCTTTGGGTAATTGTATTTCGATTTTTCACTTTTTTCCGCACCGGAAAGTGCCACTAGATACGTTTTGCCATTGTATTTGTTCTCTGTGTTCGATTGCATTTCCATCTATTCGATGTAATTCGGCTTAATTCGGAGCATGTGTATTTGTGTGTGCTCGCCTGATGCCCAAGTAAATATTGACTAAACAAACTGCATGCGGGCGAGGTTGTTGCCTGCGATTTATCTCAGTGCACGGCCAGCCACCCACATCGTTTACATGGCAGCCTGGAGTCATGCACACTACCAGGCCGAGATGCACTGCGAAAAAATGGCATGCGAAAACTAGGAACTATAAATTTGTAGTCGGAAATGGTAAAGTAATGCAGAAGAAAACTGGCTCTAAAGATAAGTATTGCAAGGAAGCAATGTGCAATTTCGAAGTATTTTTCACTTTAGAATTTTTAAGAAGGTGAAAATATTATGTTCTGAAAAATACATATACTAAACAATTATTCGAGCTTTTAAATGTTATTTCTATCTTTGGACCGTTAAGGTTCAGTATTTAGTATCCAACTGCCTATTTTGGTTACTTTTCAAGAACTTTTTCACGATGTAATCACATTTTTGTTCCTCAACTTGAACTATTTTGGCAGCAACACTAGTTCAATGACTTGTTTGGAAAGCCATATATCTAATTTATTGATCTAGAATTTCTGTTTCTCTCCATGTAAACAATCGTCTGTGCTCACGTGTTTATGTGTTTATGTATCCACCTAGATACGAACAATTCCAGTTCGAGTGTTGCGTGTTTACGACATTCAACCGCCTTGCATGCTCATCACTAGTTCGCTTATCACCGGTGATTGCAGCGGCTATTAGGGTCGTGTGCCCCAAATGTATTCTCAAGTTTTGGGTGCCACATTTCCATTTCCACTTCCATTTGCCCCCCACAAACCCGGAGACAGGCAGACAAAGTGTCTGGCGTACTCCAACAAATGCCAGCAACGAAAACATCAACAGCTGCAGCCCGAATGACAATTGAAAGGGACACAAATGAGCATGCAAAGAACGCCACTCGACTGCATAGACGCCTCTCTCCTGGCAGAGTGGGCGGGGATTTCCCCGCCAGCCAACCACTTGCCCCGCCCATCCGCCCAGGCATTACTCATACGACGCGTTGCCCGTGCGACAAATACTTGCACAACAATGCGGCTCAAGTGTCGACGCGCCGCTGACTGTTGACAGCTTTACCGTCACCCAGACCAAGTTCTCTGGTTCTCCAGTGGAAATGGTTCTTGTTTCCACCGCCCGAGGTGTTGTTTACACACAGCCTTTGGGAGAAATGTGAATTTGTGCACGCGATTTGAAAACGGGGGCAACTATCCCGGATAATGCTCAGTCTGAATGGCAAGTGTTTGATTCGATGTGTTTGTTATTCAGGCAGCACATCACTAAGGTAGCAGCCAATAAAAATGTTACAGTGCTGCTCAGTGGTTTTCCCACTTCGGTTTCAGCCTAAACTGGCATGAGATATCTTGAGATTAAAGCAAAATCATAAATGGCACAGCAAGCCTACAAAAGCATATAAAACGCGCCCTAATTTATGCGCCCTTCGAATTCGATTAAAGTCAGTGTGAGAGTCCATGGTATAGTATTTGCAAACATGTAACACCTGAACAAACAGATTCACATAAATAAAATTCCCTCAAAATTAGTGCATGCTGAACCATCAATTTATTTGCCATCGCATACATTAAATTTTGCGATTTTGCGATGTCTGTCCCAACTCAAATTGATATAATAGGAAATGAAAGTTGGCTCCTTCCGCATGAGTTCATACCTTTGACAAATCAAGGGCCTGCCCCGCACACTCGCCACACTCACACGCATTTATTCACTCTTATTCAGACTGTTTTCCTGACCCATTTTGTGGGTCAATTCAGGAGTTGTGGAAGGAACACCCGCATAAATTCAAACACAGCTGCTGAAAGTTTGGGTATTGTATGTACGATATATTTTGAGTGTGTTCGCTGCGTTCTCCATTTGAAATTCATTTCGAATGCTGCACTGATTCCACTCTTATGCTCAGCCAAGTTTTCAATAAAACGCTAACGATTTCCACCGTGACGTCATTCGTAAATGGTTGCTTCCATTTGGCATTGTTTAGCTTCTATTTCATCTGGCTTACACTCGGTTTTTATAGGGCGCTGTGGCGCAACAAAAGGCGAAAGTCAGGAGCCGAAAAGCATCGGCAATCAAAACAAATCGAAATAGTTTTTCACTGGCAGCTGCGCATCGCAGGGCGATGTATTAATTAAGTTGAGGGACCACCGCGCACAGTACTCGAGGTCTACTTTTCCCGTGCATACCCTATAGACACGGGGGTCTATTATTTTTAGGCACATCTAGAGATTTTGCAGGCCTACAGCTTAGTCACTGAGAAGTACACCCATGAACATCCTGCCATAAAAGCAGTTTAATTTGTTCAGTTGAGAACGTGAAGTTTGCAGGATCTAAGGCTGTGGTGTTCATAGTTCTCCTTGTGCTTCATTTATTAAACTTGAACATAAAGAACACTCTTTAAATTAGAATTCCCAAGGAACGATTGTACTGCCAGTGTATTTTGAAGTTCGCATATATGAGCAGCCCCTTTTTTCATTAGCACCCATCTCTGTTGCCTCAATTGCAGTTGCCCAGCGGCATGTCCACACCATACCCAGTCCCGGCTCCCATTCAGGTTCCCATTGAGGAAGGCTGGCTGGTGGGCTGGTGGGCTGGTGGGCTGGTTGGCTCATCGTGTCCGTACTAATGACCGCTCCGCTTTGCCATCTGATTTTTTGGCAGCCGCCCCGCTGCTTGGAATGCCATTCACCGTGCGTAGATGAGTATGCGTTCCGTGGCCCCTGCGTTTCCCGCTCCTGGTGCACATGAATTTATAATTGCATCATTTTTTGGGCACACCAATGTAGCCGAGGATGGCATTCAGTCGGTCACTCGACTGCACTTGCACATTCACAGTTGTATGCAAATTGTTGTATGCAAGGCGAGTCCGCGAAAAGCCGTGTGCCAATGTGGCAACTGGCAGGCCTTCTCGGGAAAAACGTCGGGGAAAATGGAAAAAGGCACTCCGCTGCACTGGGCGGCATATATTTGGTGCTGGGCGCGCCTTTTTGTTTATTTTCATAACTATGCAAAACAGAAATAACACACTGGCCAAAAGCGAAATATTGAAATATTTACAAATAAATACAAACCATTCTTCTTGCTCTCGCAGATTATCAATTTAAAGCACATCCTTCTTTGTTTAAACTGGCATTTAATACTGGCTTTATATTTTTATTTTCCAACTATTTTCTTGGCGCTGAGCCATCATTAATGTTATTTAATCAAATATTTACTATTACACGATTACAAATTGTAGGAATTTGCCAATTTAAATGTATTCAGAAACTTAAGTTCTTAAGTTAATTCAAGTTGGCTTTAAATGATATGACTAGCGACTATTTGAATAACTTAAAGCGAAATCAATTGTTGCCCGAACAATGAATTGCAAAATGGAAAGCCCCGCGAATTCGATTTTCCAATTGTGATAATTAGTGGATTTATAATTGCAATTAATTGTGCTATATTTATAGCTATAGAAAACAAGCTTGGAATTTAATTTCCTTATAGCTAACGGAAGTCGCAGTTTCATTTGAGGTATTGAAGTCATTTTAGAGCACACACAAATATATGCAGAAATATAGTATCTATAGTCATGTACTTATTCTGTTTCCGTGGACCCTCGCATGTGATAATATATAATTTTACCCATTCACAAAAATTATTATATTATTATTATATCAGTCACTTATCAATCTAGACCAGAACGCTATGAGCGGCGAACTTTGAGGAGGGCTCGGAGGTCAGACACGAATTCGGAACCAACATATTATTAGCCAGTTAGCCCAAGCAGAATTTTTGCAAGATGTTCGACATCACCTGGCTGCCCACCGCCTGCGGATCGCTGGCACCGGCCCTCATCCCACCAGCCCACATCGTCATCCTGTGGTACTTCTGGGAGAACTACGCCCGCTACGTGGACAGGCACTTCTGCACCTGCTCCTGCTGGGACACCGTCTTTAAAGGACCCTACGAGTCGGGCGTGGCCGCCTACAAGCACATGTACTTCAATGCCACGCCCAACAGCTTTAAGATGTGGATTCTGACCGTGTTCGCCGTGATTGCCCTGTACGAGTGCATCAAGAGGCTAATCGCCCTGATCCTCCAGCAGCGCGTGCGGTACTCCATGCTGCTGCTCTTCCTTCTCTCGATATTCTCGCACTACTACGCCTGGTGGGCGTACATCAACTACTACAACGATGACTACTACAATCAGTGGAACCACCAGCTCTTCTTCACGGTAAGTGCAGGACAATAACACGGCAAAAAACCTTGCTCTATAAATTGGAAATTAACTATGTTCTAAACGCATGTTTCCACGTTATGTATTTTATTTTAAAATGTATGTAGTTATATGGTAATCTATGGTACACTTTTTTTAAAGTAATGTTATAGAAATCATAGTAAAAGTTTCCGAACCAGCTGGCCACTAGATATTTACGAATTTTTCAACGTGTACAAGTTCAAATTGCAACTTACAAGTCAATGTCAAATATCGCAACTACGTGCCGTCATATGTTTGTGCCCTAAGCCATAACTGGCCATCAATAATTTATTGGGAAAGTTCGTCCTGCGCGAGTGCGCTCAAAACTTGCACAATATGCGCTCAAATTCGAACACTTTCCCGCACAATTTTCGCACTTTTCCCGCACTAGAGCGCCCACCAGCCACGCCCAGCCCGGCCAAGTCTACATAGCCATATTCACGGAAATAGAAGCATGGCAGAGTAATAAGTTTCGAGAGCAAATCCATCCATTCGACCAAAGTTTTAATGAGTGGCCTGCCCTAAAAGTGCGAAATGAAAAATGGCCAATAGCTAAAATTAACAGTCACGATTTCGCAAGGAAAAATAATTATAATTATGTTTTTCATTTACCAAAAGCCTAAAATAAATTATCCACTAAATTGATCCACTCTATAACATATATTAAAAAAATCGACCATTCCATTATTAATTAGGAAAATTGACTATTCCATTTCACAGCTACGAATTTTCTTTCTTCTAGGTAACCGAGTTGTTCTCAACGGTGCTAGTGATGCACCTGGCCAACACCACCAACGTGGTCACGCCGAAGAAAGTGTTCTGCATCGTTGGCATCGCCCTGCTGCACATCCTGGCCAGCAGCTTTGACCAGTTCTTCATGAATGTGGTGCGCGGCGAGGGTTACGCCCACCAGATAGTGCGGGACATCGGGTTCATGGTGCCCGATCTCCTCCAGCTCTTCGTCCCGGTTTGGCTGCTCCGACAGGCACGTCGCGAGTGTTATACCACGCGGCCCTTCCACCGAGATCGGAAACTGCATCGTGATATTGTGATGATGCTGTGCCTGGTGTCGCTGCTCTTTGTCATTTGCACTGTTTTGTGAGAAAGGATCATGCTGGAGGTGTACGAGGAACGATACGGAAAGGTCGTGCCCATGCAGGATGCGGCGGTCCAGCTGCTGAATCGCTACCGGATGCTGGCCAGTGGAAATGTGCACAATTGAAGGTGAATGCTTTTGGTACTGAACATTGTGGGATTGTGGGTGGACAATAGCGGCACTTGCCCAGCAGTAAGTGTGGAATATCCTGTATTCCTGTAGAACTTTGTATTTTCTTTTAACGTTTGTGATAGTTTTTTTTTCTGTTGAGACAAAGTGAGCTGACGACAACCATATCGATAAGCTTAATTATCAACCTACGATGGTACATAATCAATACAACAAACTGTAATCTTCCATTTAGAACCGTTGACCGATACCGATCTTAAGTGCATTATCATTAACCCATAGTTGAACTTAGGTACGATGTAGTGAAATCCATTCCTGGACATCCCGGGAACTTACGAGTAGATGGGTCTAGCCCCAATAGTCACAACGATAAACAGTTATTACAGGCATGAACACATGTGTAGATTAGTTATGGAACAACGATGCGGATACTTAATATTGATAAAGGATTGTGGAAGCGGAAGTGGAAGTGGAGACCCACCCAGTGTTATACTACCTTAAATCAGTTACATGTGACTTAGACTGTTGTTAGATAATAACAATATTATACATGTTCATCACGACAAACCAAAATATTCCAGTACATCTAGTAGATAAACCACAAACAACTAACAAATAACACAAAACCAAAATCGTAGTAATCAAAATTAGCGTTATACTATATTGTTACGATTAACTTGACATCAAGGAAATCAAAAACATGCAGATATTAATATTTGGAATAGCCTATACTTATACACATATATATTTTAGTATACAAAATTATATTGAATAAACTTTAAGAGACTGAACATCCAGTAGTTTCCTTAGATTGCCAAAACGGTGAGTCCAACACAACCCATTTCAATTATTTGTAGTTCTCTTTTATTGAAGGATAAAAATTTTAATTTTTTCATTGTCTCTTTTTTGTAATTATATATATTTTTTTATTGCTATATATATCTATATACACTTGGTAATGTATATTTGAAAATTTCAAGTCAAGACGTTCAAAATGCATTTTCCAAAAATACAATTTGTTTTTAATGCTTTGTGTTTCTATAGTAGCCGACTTTGTTTAGCCACAAAATGATTTTCATGTTCTTTTGTGTGTAAAGTAGAAGACATTTTAAATTAAACGTAAAGCGTGAAAACATATTAAAAATAATGGAATGTTCGTTCTTACATACTCGCGCGATAGAAATACATAAAATTGGCGGCTTTTCGTAAGCTACTCGGGCAGCTCTCTAAAATAAGTTTTTAACTTAATTTCGCAAACAAAATGTTCATAAAATTAACTAAAAATGGACGGTATTCGGTGAACATAAAGAGATTTCATAGTTAAATAGGGCGAAATGCCGTCAGACAGAACCAAAGAATAAAAAAATCATAGCATAATGTAGCCAACCAATTATAAATCAAATCGTAGCATTCACTTGCGCAAAACAATTGGCAGTGCGTGGAAAAGTATTTTCTGTCTGTAATATGTGATGTGCCTTTTCCGTGTTTGTTTGATTTTCACTTCGTTTTCATCTATTTTTTTATCTTTTGGTAAGTCTGAGTGGTCGCTGTTGCGTGTCTAAGGCGATTTTAAAACGATTTATGTGCATACTTTTGCGACCGGTTTAGATAAAGATCTCTGTTCGCTTCCTGACTTGATGGCCAGTAGTTGAGTGCAGGACAGCATCGTCTGGGTCGTCAGCTCCATCGGCACCCTGATCCTCGTGCGTCAAGTAGTCGCCTTTGTGCCGGTGCAGATAGCGACCGATAAGGAAGAACATAAGGATGAGCAGCAGGAAGAGAATTACAAGCAGACCTGAAATAAAGTTTTGTGTTATTAATTTGTTTTAAGTGCCGAATAATGATTTAACTTACATGCCAGCAGCACAGAGTTAACTTCGTTATAGGCCTTGCGCAACTTCTCCTCATCCACCAAAGGTGGTGGCCTAGTCTCAATTTCAATGGGTGGATGAGTAACTGGCTCGACTCCGCAGAAGTCTTCTGTCAATTGAGCTGTAACATTCAATATTGTTTAGCTTGTTCTACTTTGTTTCTTTAACTGCATATACTTACTGCCCAAAGACTTAACATTTTTGGGAGGATTCTGCTGGAACATCAGCTTCAGGGGATAGATATCATCGAACTGAACTCGCGACACACAACCCACAAAGCCGTCTGTCATAGATTCATTTTTGCCAATGTACATGTACTGAATATTGTTGAATTGAGCATCCGCTGAGGCCTTAATATCAAAGTTGTACTCGACCGGCTCGTAGTTGTCGACCTTTAAAACCACGGTGGATCCACCATTTTTTCGCATAAAGTGCATATCGTGGTACTGACCCAGGCCAAAATGTTTTTTGGGGAATATGATTTCCTGTCTCTCGAAACCAAAATCAAATACGCAGCGCAAATGGCCTAAAAGAAAACGAGTTGAGCATGAAGTGGTTTACACTTAAAAGTGTGTGCAAATCAATTTACCAGAATTCGATATTTGAATAGTTAAATATTCGCCAGTTAAGTTGGAAGAGAAGCCAAGCAGGAATCCCTTCGGGATGGTGGTGGTGAAGCCGACGCGAATGTTCTCGGCAATTGTGGAACGGAAGGAACCCTCAAACTCGTAGCGAATAATCGAACTGGAGCGTAGGTTGACACCAATCTCTGCAATAAGTAAATGCAAATTGAATAAGATGCAATTACTGCAACATTCAATTACCCACCATCTGCGCAAATAGGTCCTTTGAATGCGCTCCAACGGCAATCGCAACTGTAGCCATCGTATCGCTCGATACACGTGCCATTGTTTAGGCATGGATTTGATTCACAACGACCAACGCATCCGGTACTGATGCCGTACAATCCACGCTTGGAGTAATCCTTCAAGTCAACCATCTTTCCGTTCAGCAGCAGCGCACGAATGCATCCTACGTAACCATCGCGGTACTCAGTGGTGGCGCCGATCACCAAGTCCGAAGTTAAGTGAAGGGCACGCACCGGACCAAGCGGCTCTCGAACCTCAGCCTTGATGGACCCATCAACCACTAGACGTGCCTCCTTCCTGTTGCGCTCGACACTCACCGTGTGCCAGTTGTTGTCGTTCAGATGGTAGCTTGTGCCCACATTAACGCCTAGTGGTCCACTTCCCGCCTGATACTGGAATTGCAGTTTGTTGCCACCATTGAGACTCAGCTTAATGTAATCTGTAGGTCCGGTAGCATGAAAGATCACAGAGTTCTCTTGTGTGGTACGGAATTCCAGATAAATATCTCCAGAGTGACCCATGTCGAATGGTGGTAAGTTAATAGAAGCATCGGCAATGCGGAAGGTTACCACATTACTGAAGAGATCATCGCCCTCACAGCGCAGCGGTCCCAGAGTATAGCGACCCATTTTCTCGTCCAAAGGAGTTCCAGTATCACCAAACTTCACTGCTCGCACTGGAAGATACTCCTTCTCCCGGATATCACCACCATCCTCCATCCATTCCAGACTGTTCGAATCGCAGTTGCACCACTTTGTGGGATCGTGACACTTGCCCAGAATTCCACACTCGCACTTACGAGATCCAGGAAGAGCTCCAGCCCAATAGTCCATCGGCTGATTGTGGCGAGAGATCCACCAAGAGAAGGGGCGGAAATTACCGGCCTCAGCTGAATACAAAATTCCATTATAACTCTGAATAAACTTAGGGAATCGCGTTACTACTCACATGGAGAGTTGAAGAGTCGGGAGGAGCGGCAGGAGTAGCTAAGGCGCTGCCAGCAGCTATGGGAGCGATTCAACAAAGCTTCAATTTGCAGTTGGTTGGCATCGTACATGATGGACTGCTCAAAGGAGCCAGGCTCCTGGAATCCATCTACAGTTGTGGTGTGCTCTTGACTGTGGCTGAGGGTGGTAATCACGCGTCCATCCGCTGCAAAAACATCAATCAATGTCATAAGTTTATAAAATTACATATTTAAAGAAGCATACACACATATTTTCAACCATAAAAGTTATCTAAATTATTACAGAGAATAGAATAACTTGATTGATGGTAATTGTTTTTCAATTTAAGGCATGAACAAGTTAAAATAAATGGAAGCGACTGAGTGATATCAACTTACAGTAGAATTCGCAGGTTACTGGGAAAGGTTCCAGAGGGCCACTGCCATCCACGTCGAGGTTCAAGTTCACACGCTGCTGCACATGCTGCACATTCTTGAGGGCCAAGCAGGACAATGGATTGTTAGCTAGATAACAAGATTAAAATAATAAGTCAAATTATCGAGCAATCATTTAAGGGCACTCACAAGTATGGCAAACGGCTCCGGCATAGCCAGTGTGTCCGCAATCACAGAAGAACTCCCTGGAGTTTTGATGACAGAGACCTTTATGCTGGCAAGGATTTGGATTGCAGCGATCAATCATCTGGCAGGCATCGACGACGACATCATCGCCACAGCAAACTTCCTCGCCCTTCACCCAGTCCTGCGGTAATTTGTAATTTCCATCCACCGAAATTAGCCGCATGCAGCCGACGAATCCGTTCTTGTCCTTTCCACCAGCAATATAGTACTGTGCTCCAGTGGCAATCTGTAGGCTCTTTGTTGTGGTCATTGGTCTCTGGTCAATATTCAGAATCAAACGATTCTTTTCGATGGATATAATGAACGAATGCCATTTGCCATCATTGAACTGATCGTCGTAATTGTCCAGAATAATTCGCGCTTTCTCCTTGATTTTGAGGTCGATCTTCACCTTGCCAAACTCCAAGAAGACCTTAACGTAACCACCCGAATAGAAGTCGTGATGCAGCATTACTCCAGTTTCCTCGTAAGTACGGAAATAGAAGGAGACGTTTAGGCGCTGTGAGTTTTCATAACCCTTCAAACGGACGAACGACGATCGGGTAGTGAAGGTCACCGGATAAATCGGAGGCGATGGACACGCGTAGATGGTGTTTACCCTAGTGAAAAGATATCCTTCTCCCAGCTCAGTGCTGTCTTTCATTACTCGAATAAAGTTGGTAGAATTGAAGTAGATGTTTTCTAAGCAGCCGGAGAAATTTTGTTGGACGATCAAGCCCTCCTGGACGTTGGGCACTCCACCTAGATACAGCTCCCGATTGAGATTCAGTCGCGTGAAGTCGCCCTGGATGCGTCCTCGTACGATGACACGATCGACCGAAAAGATAATGTCCCTTTGATTCCTTGAGATCACTACATCATGCCACACATTGTCATCCAGCAGGCTGCCCACCGATAAGGAGGTCATCACCCGCGATCCCAGATCCAAATTCAGCACCATCTTGTTGTCCTTTAGCTGCAGAGCATAGTAATCGCCCTGTGTGCCACGCGAATACATCATCACTCCGTTGGCAAAGGCCGTCTTAAAGCGGAATCGGATGGACTCCTTGGTGGAGGTAATAGGTTCCCGCCTCAGATCATAGCGCACCAAGCCAGTGCCATTAAAGTACAGGTTCTCAGAGACTGCAAGAAAATGTTTGGGATTAAAAATAAAACAAACCCAAAACTCCATTCATCACTTACTGTAATCGCAGCCGTAGAGCTCGACCCGCATGGAAATACGATCGTGCCACCTGGTGGGATTGATCCTAACCCATTGGGCAATAATGGGCACCTCGAAGACGTTGTAGTGAATAGAGTTGCCATCCGAGTTGCCCTTGAACATCTATGATGGATACCATATTAATGTTATACATTTTGTTCAATATACAAATATAAAATAGTGCAAAGCCAGAGCCTGAAGCATTAATCCATCACCATCCTTTAAGCCAGGATTAGTTGTGTTTTTTATTGTAGTCTTAGAC